GACAGGAGCAATGTTTGAAGTAGTTTCCACGGCTGGAGTGCAAGATTCTCCTTCATTGCAAGAGGTGGTTGGAACTGGGGTCCCTCCTGTAGTTGTGGGGTTTGGAAGTTCTGTTGTTCCTTTGCTGTCACAACCAGTGGTTGGACAGTGCAGCACTGTTGTTGTGACGGTCGTCACACCGCCAGCCGCGTCCGTTGTCACACATACAACAATAGTTTTAGTGACAATGGAGTGATCGGTTTCGGTCGTGGTGTAGGTCGTAGTATATTTAGGACCCGAGGAAGCAGACAACGAGGAATACACTGATGACGCGAATGCATCCGATGGGGTAATTGAGAATGCAGTCACAGACCCGTAGTCATAAGAAGACTTCAGTGAAGAGAGAACTTGAGACGAATTATTACCATCCGCACCATGTGAAGCATAAGTCGAAATAACACGCTCAGAGGTTGGAGAAGTTTTGAGGAGGCTGGTGATGGAGCTTCTAACCGCGACATTGGATGAAGTCGCAGATATCAATATACTCTCACTAGCGCCCAAAGATACACTGAAATCATAAGCAGAAGAAGAAGATAAACTTACCTCAGTTCTGGCTGTTTCAGTACTGCTGGTAGTTTCAGGGGGAGTTTTAGTGGAAGAGCCAGCCCCAAAATCACTCAGAGTAACTAATTGAGAAGTAGTTTGAACAGAAGAAGTTTCGGTATAATCAATGTCAGAACTCTTGTACACCAGGCTCAACTTCAGAGAGCTAGCATGAATTGAAGTATTCGGCACATCCACAATAACCGTATTTGTTAAGAAACCTGTGGCGGTGATGGTAAATGAGTAGTTTTTATCCCAAGTGCGGGTTACTGTGGTGGTCTGTTTTGGAATCTGAACGATCACTGTATCTGTCGATTCACCAGATTTTGTGGTAGTTGAAGTGTAGGGGTTTTTCCACACCGTAGTGACAGTGGTATAGCAGTTGCTGTTGGCAAACTCTGCTTGGAATACCTGAGAGCCAAAGTCAGAAATTATATTTCCTGACGGTTTGGTGACTTTCAAATTAAGACCATTGTTACCCTGCCAATTGAACATGACTAATTTTACAGGGTAGTAAACACCTTTGACAAGGCTGTAGGACATGTCTCTTACATTGACCTTCGTACTTCCTCCTCCTCCTCGGGGGCCTAAAGTTTTAAAGCTGAAACCTCCGCTTTCACTTCCAGAAGCATCATTACAACAGGTTTGACCAGCACCGAATTGCAAAGACGCACCATTGTCTGCAGCCAAACGAAACCGATAAAGTCCAGTCTCTGGAGCTTCGAAATAGCCGCTTAGTTCGAGGGAGTAATTCGAGATTGTTGTGCTGTACCCATAAATGGTTTGGTGCAAGACCTTCTGATCAGGCTGATTAGAATACTGAAAATTGATGCTTTCGACACAACGTACAGTCTCTAAAAGATCTGATTTGTAACCAGATACAAAGAAATCTTTTTCCCATCCCTTTCCACCTAAGAACTCATAGGAATAAAAATTAGCAATGAATCCTTTCTCACCAACCATACTAGGTGTGCACCCTGCACTTGCGGACACGATACCCACGATTGCAGCCGTGAAGAAAAAAGAGGGAATAAGCATGGATGATTGTTTCGAAAAAATAAGGACAATTAGGTCGTAACGCTTCTCAGATGCTCATTTAAATAGGTGAAAAAATGCCAGAGCCAGAATTCTCATACTACTGTGGCGCAGTGTTATAGACAACCAATTCTGGGCCCACAAGAGTCTCAACGTCTTATACATACCAAAGAAGAATGTTTAAGCCGAAGCCCCTGCGCACAACACGCAGGGAAAATTTGTTTGTATTTCTGCTTGAGTACAGGATATTCCAACTCAATGTCCTGTCCACAAGTGGTTCCCAACTGGTACAGTTGAGATATCGGATTCGACATGATGTACTAGCGTGTGGAAATAAACCTTTATTTAGGAAAAACTAAAACCACTTTTGTGTCAACTGACCTTCTAAAAAGATCTCTAGAGGGAATTCTCTTCCCTTCATATACTCGTCGTGCTATTTGGTTCCGGGTAAGTGGTGCGAACTTTAATGTCTCATTTGTCACATGATTAATTAGGGCTAAGCGTCTAGTTCTCACAAAATTCATTGAAAAGAAAATATGCAGGTAATGCACCGAGCCGTTGCATGCGTAAGCTTGGAAAACCGTTATATAGTAACCTCAAAATCTTGGCTAAAATAATGTGTATGCTATGATTTGAGAACACTTGGTATCTTACGAAAAGTTCGCTCTTGAAAACACTTTTGCAGAAAGAAACAGTTGATCATGCTATACATTAGTGGTCACTTATCG